AGCAATATATAAATAGAACTCATAATTACACATAGAACTCAGTTAAAACTAGAACTCATAATTACACATAGAACTCAGTTAAAACTTGAATATAGTGAGAAGACATCCAAAAGGAAACAACAAACCCATAATAATATCTAACTCCCAACAGAAGAATTTAGATCTCAAAGGTATAATAACATCAAAAAAGAAAAAAAAAAAACAAGAAACGTAGATAAACATAGAGAAAAAAACACAAACACAAATACTATAATCATAGACTAAAACCCTTCTCACAGCCGAACAAACACACCAAACAACACTCGACGGTGGCACCACAGCCGATCACCAAACAAACAGGACCACAGCCTATATTTCAATACCAGAAACTACAACACACACCTAACTGGAGTCAGAAGCGACCAACCCCAATTCCTCATCCGGAGAACAATCGAACAACCCGTAAATTTTTCCTCATAAAATTAAACATGACGATAAAATTCGTCATGCAAACTTTATATTTCGTCATAAAAGTAAATTTTTCGTCCAAGGATGGCAGCCAAAAAAGGCAAGGTCCACTCGAGAGCGCCATCCAACTTTGCCGCGCGAGAAGACGGGCTCCGACACCAAATTGAGGTCGTGTCGCACAGTCAGGAACCAGTCACCGTCAAAAAGCCCGACGATCCCGCCGGAGAAGGCAAACGGAAAAAATTAGGTTAAGACGATAGGGATTATGAGGGAAGACAAAAGAGAGAGTCTGGTTTATTTGTTAATTTAACTTTTGTCAAAGTCGTTAAAATTCAGTAAAGACGAACAGTGTCGGGTGCGAGTTTTTCTATTAAACTCGTTGGGACCTTGAAATTTGATGGAAATAAAATAAAAAGAAATGGAAAAGTCAAAATCAAATTAACAACAATTATAAATTTAAAGCATAAAACTGATAAATTAATGTTATTGTAAACAATGAATCGTGAAACAAAATGAAAAGGGCATCCATCACTTTTTGATGACTTACTCACTGACAACCTTTGATTGAAGTTTTATGCCCCTCTAATAACTTGGTTGGCTTATTATTGACTTCGATTAACAAATATAGGGTGGTTATCGTGTTGTTAAAAAACCTTATTTCTTGTTGACTCGGAACCTTATCTCTTGAAGCCCTTAATGTCCAATAATTTTTGTTGCCCAAGATCTGTTCATATCTGACCGTATTCCTTTCCTCACTTTTAGATCTTTTCATTGTGTAGGCCTTTCTGCTAATTAAGGTCCATAGCTCTCTTAGGTCGCCAACTTGCATGTAATGAATTTGTCTTTAGTTCTCAGCCCGATCTTTAAATCTATAATTCGGATCGAGGTGGTCGACCTGTGCCTGACCAAGCTCAGTAGGTCGATCACCTTCGATCTAAGGCTAGATTTGACTTGAACTAAACCTTAACCATTCGACCTTTGCAGCTCGCTCGCTAAAGAGGTGATTACCCCAAATTAGTCCAGGTGGGGCTATATCAATATGAAAACGTAAATTAAATATATTTAGTACCATATTTATCTTTTGTTAAAATAAAAATAATACATAAGTTAATATTCGTGTATTACTTTATAAATGTCTATATACAAATAATTTTTAAGTTAATAATTTTAAATACATATTTCCAAACCAATCTACTATTTTTACTAAATATATTTTTGAAAACAAATAATATTAAATACTAGTCAAAACAGATAGTACAAAATATGGTGCCGTACCAATTTCCTGGTCCTATCCTCAATTTCACCATGTGTCCACCAAACAAAACTCCTTTGCGTAATTAATCCCGCGTAAAACTAGTGTGAGGAGACTCTGAGCTGGCAATCCACCATATGACCGTGCAGTGACGTGGGCCCGCCATGACGTCCATTCTTACGTCGATTGACTTACCCACAAACCCATATATATACGACTTTTCTTTGACCGTTTTCCTCATCGTCCAAAACAAAGAAAAAAAAAAGAAAATCACTCCCAAACACAGACAAACAAAACATGCAGCCGTCAAACATAAGCATCACGCTCGAAGACAACAACACCTGGACCTCCACGGAGGCGGCGGCGGCCGCCGCCGTGCCGCCTCCCCCGCTTTGTCTGACCCGCGAGGAGGAAGAAGTCTCCGTCATGGTAGAGGCACTCAAGAACGTCATCGCCGGCGCCGCTTCCCGGGGCGTTCCGGCGGATTTCAGCAGCGGCGGAGGCGGCGGCGGAGTTCTCTCTGTTTCCGGAGATATGGAGACCTGCCGGCTTTGCCGGATAAGTGGGTGCCTGGGCTGCAATTTCTTTGTCGGCGAAGGGGAGAGTGGCGGCGGCGGTGAGCCGCCGGGCGCGGCGGCGCCGGAGAAGGGGAGGAAGAGGAAGTATAAGAAGAACTACAGGGGGGTGAGGCAGCGGCCGTGGGGGAAGTGGGCGGCGGAAATAAGGGACCCGCGGAAGGCGGCCAGGGTGTGGCTGGGGACCTTCGAGAACGAGGTGGACGCGGCCCGGGCCTACGATCGGGCCGCAATTGAGTTCCGCGGGCCGAGGGCGAAGCTTAATTTCCCGTTCTCCAACTACACGGAGGCCGCCCCTGCGGCGGCGGTGGGCTCCACCTCCGGCCGGACGCGGGAAGATTCTGCCAAAGTGCAGAAGAAGAAGATTACGCGGGAAAATGGAGGTAAATTGGGAATTGGGTCGAGCAGGAATAATAATAATAATAATAATAACAATAAAAATAATAATAATAATAATAATAATAATAATAATAAGAACAGCAATAATAAAAGCGATTTTTGGGAAGTTATGAATGGAAAAGAGGAGATTGATGAGTGGATGGCGTTGATGAATTTCAACAGTGGGGACTCGTCGGATTCTGCTAACGGCGGCGTGAATCTTTACAGTGTGTAACGTGTATTAATAATTAGTACTTAGTTCTTTACTAGTAAAGTATTAATATAGTTATCGAGTTTTTTTTCGATTAGATAAAAACACACATACTTAATCAAAAAAAAAACACACATACTAATGAGTATTGTGTTGATCCAACAGTTAAAAATCGATCATTATAGTGTAGTCACTTATAAGTAATTGGTGAAGAGAGAATTGAGTTAAGTTAATGTAGAGAGGTTTTGCAATTTATTTTCTACTTCAATAAGAAGTTTGATAGATCAGTTTAAGGATATTGCAAAAGATGAGCTCAGCATCACTGTATTTTCTTATTAAATGTATATTGCAAAAGTTATATTAAACTAATTTGTTTATAATATATATTAATTAACTATAAGTAATATTTATTTATTGCAAAATTGAACATGATGCATTTATAATTTAGACATTTAAAAGTTGTAGTGCATCTAACTTTTTAAAATAAGTTTTTATTATGGGTTCCAAATTATAAATTTATTTTGTTAAGACTGGGACGTGTAAAGTCTTTTATTTATAGAAGGAGAAATTAAATTATCTATCAGAAATTATTTATTACCAGATAAATAGGTTTTTTTTTTCTTTCTGAGCAAGAAGGAAGAACACAAAATGGAACATAAATATCTGATGATGTGTGACATTAAAGTTTCATTAAAGAAAAATGTGACAGTTCACAGTTGCTTCTTTACATATCCACCAACATAAACTATATTCCATTTAATAATAATATTTAGGAAATACATCTTAATTAATGGGGCACCTGAGGGTTGGGACGTGTTGACTCAGGAATACACGTCAGTCTAAATAAAAAAGTTAGTCATCACAAGTTTGATATATTATCAACGGGCTTTAAGTTATACCATATTATTTTTAAAAAAAAAAAAAATAATTCAAATGTCTAATGGATTATGAAAATGTAAATTTAGCTAGCTTCTTGAGGTGCAAGTGAGGCGAGTCGAGCTCGAAATCTTGATAATAGAACTCAGGCTTGAGCTTTTTTTTGACCTGATTCGAGCTCACCTCGTTAACTAAACGAAAACAGGAAAACGAGCTCTAACTCGGGTCATAACTCAAGCCATAATGAGTCTATTCATAAAAAGTTACATAAAAATTTTAGAATTTTGAGTTTTTCAGTCGAGCTCGGAACATAACTAGTTGAATTGAGTCGAGCTCATTAGCGGCTCATTTCGCAACTATATATCACCCTAGAGGATGTATAATAATAAATAGGCTAGTAACCAATTATTTCTCAATATATTTTAAATTACCTTGTTAGTTATAAAATAGAAGAGTATTGTAGATATATGCACGTGTAATATGATTCTTTTTTTCTCATAGTAATAAACAAATATATGTACTAAGATATTGTGAATGTGTATAAAAAAAGAAGGAATTAGCAAGCTAAACGGTTAATAAACAAATATATGGACTAAAATATTACGAATCCAAAATATAAGTTCCAATCACATACGAATCCTAAAGGAGGAATGGGTTTTGAAGTAAACTCAAGGGAAAAATATAATGAATTTAAACAAGGATTATTAGGTCTTAACTTTTTATACTTATTTATTTTTTCAGTTTCAACGTACTAAGAGAATTTCCAGTGGTCTATATGAATTGATCTATTTCATTGGCACGTGACCTAATAAATCTTATGTGGCATTAAAAATATTTAAAAAAAAAATAGATATAGAAGTACTGTTAAACATCTTCTATTATAAATTATATTATGTATTATTTATTAAATTTGTCTTTCTTTTTCAATTAATTATAGTCTTAAACATATTAAATTATACTAAAGTTGGCATTAACTATTGAATACACAATTTATTAACTTTCTTTCTTTTTCATATTATACATTTCAAAATTGAAAATGTGCCATTGGAGATTGGTTAAAAAGATTAGATTAACTAATGCAAAGGAAACATGTGCTGGAATTGGGACTAAGCTAAGTACTGAACTCCAATTGAAACACATTTAACATGCGCCGATATATGCTACCAGAGTTGGGATATTTCCATGATTGTTACTGCGCGTACTTCTGATTATCAATTTTCTATTATGCGGTTGAGTCACATCACGCTAATGTTAGTTCAAAATGACACTTATCACTAATAAATCTCGGTCATTCTATATTATAATATCTATCATTATATAAAAAGAATAACCTTTTACAAATTTAGAAATTTTTTTTCGCCAAAATTATTAAATATATCCTAATATAGTAATTGTTGGACAAATCTGAATAGGCAAAAAAATCGGCTCATTTTTTTTAGTTTATCAAAACCGTTGTTTGACAATAAATATTTATTTTTCTTTTTCCTATTTTTAGTATAAATCTACACGCTTATCTCTTATGTTACAAAATCTCATTCCATACGATCTCACGTGTTTAAAAAATCCTATCCCTTTCTATACAGATTTAAAAAAATAAAATAAAATAGAAACCAATTCATAATTACTACTAGAATTCCACTATTTTTAAAAAGAAAAAATAAAATAAAATAGAAACTAATTCATAATTACTACTGGAAATCTATTATCTACTTTAAGAAGCTAATTTTCATCGGTCTAATTACTAATATTTTTACAAATATTATAAGCATTTCCATTATCTACTTTAAGAATTACTAAATATTTTTACAAATATTATAAGCTAATCATACAAAACAGTATAATAATAATTTTGAAATGGTGTGTAATCAAATTTTTTTATATTCTCTTATACAAAATAATTTTACATTGTTTGACCCCGAATGTATAATTTATAATTATTAAGTATTGTTTATCCTCCTCTTTAATTTATAATTATTTTTTTTTTTTGCTTCCTCTTTTTAAATGGATAATTAATTTACTATATTATATATAAAAAATTAATAACAATTTAAATTTTTTACAGTTATTTATATATAGGGATATATTATACCCTCATTTAATTTTTACCTAAAATCGATAAGTTTACCCTTGATTAATGAAAAAAAATATGATAAACACATGCTACGTCTCGAATGTGTCCTAGCCAAATTAATATGATTATATCACATCTTAATTATTACTAGTATTTGTTTCTGCGTGCATGTACATATATTTAAATTATTATTATCAGTTTTGCTATTAAATCAACGGTGTATAATTCTCTTTAACTTCTTATCAACGAGTTCCTCGACATTATTGGGCCTCAACTGTGCGTGGCAGCAGGGCCTTTGAACAAAATAGAATGGGCCTTTTCCGTGCCTCTAAATAGAATGGGCCAGCTACTTAAAGAGCGAATCAAGTGATATTGAGCCACACTACACTCCGATTCAATGACACGTGGCACCGTTAGATAGACGCCAACTGGTTTTATTCAAATCCCTCGAATAAACGCCTTTCGATCTCTGCAAATAATTTGAAATTCGCATTTTCCATGCAATTGGGAGATTTTGGTAGATTTAATTTTTTTTTCCGATCAATCGGATCGCCGTCGGCGCCCACATTCATGGGCGTCTTTCAAAGCCTCGAAGGACTCGAACGATGAAGAAAAGGAGGCGGCGGAGGAGCAAGGAAAAGGAGGAGGTCGGAAACCCAACGCCGGCGTGAGGAACGCCGTCAAGATCTACCTCCACGCCGGCGGAAACACGGCGAACGCGACATGGGTGGTCTCCGAGAAGCTGATCTCGTATGGGATTTGAAATTTCCGGCCGGCGGGAACTTTTACTGATTTTGTTTTTCCTCTTCCGTCATAAAAGAGCGAATCATTACTGCTGATTATTGGGTTGAATATTTGGTTCGCTTCTCAAATTAAGAGCATTTGGTACCAATAGGTTTGAGGTAAATATCGGAACTAAAGCTAATTCAATCAGAAATGACTTTTTTCTGGTGAACTAATTAACCGTAAAAAAAATAGAACACTTACAATTTACTCCATTTTAGATTCTTTAATTCGTAAATGAGCTCCTGAAATTTAGTTTGATGTATAAAAGTTTTGTGTCTGTTATTTTATTTTATTTTTTTATTTGGTCATTTTAATTCTGTTTTCCCATGACTATGATCGAGTTGTGGTTATGTTTTCTCAGTTATCACAATGAAAAGATTGTATATGTTGGCACTATGCAATTCAATACATTTCTTTTGCATCAACAGGTTATATATTGGATTTGAATCAAATTTCAGACCAATCTATATTGATTGACTACCTCCACCATTATGTTGTCACTATTTTTAGTTTTGGATCTTCCAAATCATTACCGCAGAAGATTCGGACCCATTTTGTTATGATCCTTCCAAAAAAAAAAGATTCATTCTTTTATTCTAGTTCTAGGCTATGTTTGGTAGACCAATAAGCTAACTTATAGCTTATTTAATTAGTTTATAAGCTCCCTGTTTTCAAATAAGCTCCGTTTGGCAGGATGAGATTTTCTAAAAAGCTCGATAAGTTTCTTTGGGTAACTTTTCAAATAAGCTAGTTGAAATTTTTATTTCAGCTATCTTATCAGCTAATTTTACCAAACATTTTTATCATATAAGCTAGCTTTTCAGCTATAAGTCATAAGTTATAAGCTATAAGCTCAAAAATTAATGATAAGCTATAAGCTAGCTTATCAGCTAGTTTTACCAAACATAGTCCTAGTAGATTTTATGAGATTCTTTTTTTCTTTTTATCCCACTTTTTGTTAGATATTTTCCCTTTTTTTCAAGGATACAAATACAATGAATTCATGCAGTTCACTAAACAACCTGCAGTTGCACATACCCCAAAAAAAAAAATTAAAATAAAATAAAATAAAATCTATATGTTGATCCAAAACACAATATATAATAACCCCATTTCAAAATTTTATATATATAAAAAAAATAATTATTACTAGTAAGTAGTAATGTAATTTTTCTAATCTATTTCACATTGATACAATTTAATGTAATAATAAGCCAGAGCCAAAACTATTTCCCTCAATCAAATCAAATACAATTTCACAACCTATCTTCATGCACAGCCCTTAATCCATTACCGAACTTCCTAAATTCATGTCAAGACACTTCCAGCCATACACATCCATGTCTTTTTCTCTCTCTACTTTCTCTCCCCTCGCCGGAAAACGTTCCATCTCCGGCCGCCATGTCCACCTCCATCCTCCTCCTCTGCCTCCTCACCCTCCCCCTCTCTCTCCATGCCTCCCAACAAACCAGAGGTGAATAAAATTAAAATTAAAATGAAAAAATGAAACAATATCACAAATTAAAAATCCAATCTTTTTCTTTTATTCTTAATCAAATCTCCCCATTGTTTTGCATTTCCTATGTAATAATAAACACAGGCTACCTCTTGAGCTGCGGCTCGACACGCAACGACGAAGAAGGACCTCTCACATACACTCCGGACGACAATTTCACATCAGCCGGCAACAAAACAACCTTAAAACGAACGGACATATTGCCTAGGTTGCAAACTCTAAGGTTCTTCCCCAATGCCAATGCAAGAAAACACTGCTACACTTTTCCGGTGACCAAAGAGAAAAAATACCTCGTCAAGACAGTCTATTTTTACGGGGGATTCGACGGAGGACACGAGCCGCCGGTTTTCGATCAGATAATCGACGGCTCGAAATGGAGCATTGTTAACACGACGGAGGATTATGCAAACGGAGGGTCTTCGTATTACGAAGCTGTTGTGGTGGCTCAGAACAAGTTCTTGAGTGTTTGTCTTGCGAGGAACGAGTACACGGTGAATGGGTCGAGCCCGTTTATTTCGTCGCTCGAGGTTTATTTTCTTGATGATTCGGTTTATAACTCGACCGATTTCGAGAGGAATATGATGGCGAATGTCGCGAGGAGTAGCTTCGGACCCGAAGGAGATATCATTTGGTATGTGTATGATATTTTGTGCTTTTGTTTGCGTATTTGTTCTTTGCAACGTAGAAATTTAAACGATGAGAAAGAAAGAGAGAAAGATCGATCGGCTAGCTTGTATTGTTGACAAGAAATGTGCAAGATTTTGGGCTTATTGAGTTGATAGAATTTATCAAGACGAAATCGAGTCGTTAGTTAAGTACAAAGAGACGGTTAGCTAGTTTTCGCTCGTTTTTTTTTTTACTTTATTTTTTCTAGGTAGACTAAAGTTGTGTTTGGTAAACATATAAGTTAGCTTGTAGCTTATTTGATTAGTTTATAAACTTCATGTATTCAAATAAACTTTGTTTGGTATGACTAGTTTTTTTAAAAAGCTCGAACTTATCTCATAAGCTTCCTTCCTTAGGTCGCTTTCCAAATAAGTCCATTGAAATTTTTATTTCAGCTAATTTTACCAAAACACTTTTATCATATAAGCGAAGTTTTCAGCCATAAGTCATGAGCTATCAGCTATCTCGAAAGTCACTTAAAAAACTATATATATCAGCTAAGTTTACCAAAGATAGTCTGATGAATATATATAATACAAAAATTTCAGCTTCCCAGACGATAAGTTCGATCGGTACTGGCAGACCTTCCGAGACGGCTACCCTTTCGTCTTGAGCCAATCAAATGCGACTCCATCAACCTTCTGGAACATTCCGCCACAGGGCGCCTTGTCATCGGCACTCACAACTAGCAGAGGAAAAAACCTCACGTTCAACTGGCCGCCGTTTTCTCTCCCAAGCGGGCTTTATTACATTGCACTGTACTTTCAGGACAATCGGCACGCAAGCCCGTACAGCTGGCGAGTCTTTGACGTTTACGTAAACGGGGGAAAATTTTTTCAGGCCCTTAATGTCACGGCTGAAGGTCAAAGTGTGGTCGGGACCAAATGGCCACTTCAGGGGATAACCGAGATCTCGTTGGTTCCTAATGGCGATTCTCGTGTGGGCCCATTGATCAATGCTGGCGAAATCTTTCGGGTTTTGCCTGTTGAGGGAAAAACGGTCACCAGAGATGGTATCTTTCTTTCTTTCTGGTTATTAAGAGCATGTTTGTTTATGGAAATTTTTGGTTTTGTTTAGATTTTTTGGTTTGGTTTGATTAATTTTGAAAAATGTGGTATGGTTAGGTGTTAGTGGGTATATTAAAATAATATTTAAAATAAAATAATTAAAATTGATTTGATGTAAAAGTATAAGAAAGATAATTTGAAGTGATAGTTAGTTAAAATAATATGAGTGGATGAATAGTGAATTAAGGTTGATATGGTGTGTATGATTGATTGATTGATATTATTTAATTATATTGATAATATTGATGATAGTGGGGTTGAGTTAAAGTTGAGTTAAAAAAAATTGTTAAGTTAAAATGTTGAAATTTTTTTGAAAAATCTTATAAACAAACATGCTCTAAGATTTCTTGAAAATTACCAATGGTAATTAACATGTGTCTGAAAGTTTCTTGTCTTGTCTTGTCTTGTCTTGTCTTGTCTTGTTTTCTTCTTTGTATATATTTTTTCGGGTGCTCGGCAGTGATGGTGATAGAGGATTTGCGAGAAGCAATTTCTAATAATAAGCCTGAAGGTTGGGCAGGAGATCCATGCCTGCCCAAAGGGACTTCTTGGGTCGGTGTTTCGTGTTCAGACAATGATCCGTTTCGTATCATCTCTTTGTAAGTTT